TTTTTTTTATAGCAAAACAATATAAAACTACTTGTAAAAAGCTTCATGTTTTGTTTATATGTAGTTACACATTTAAAACTTACTGGGTTCAGATCCAAACAATGACCCGATGTGACTGCCTTCTCTTTCAGACCGACCCTGGCTGACGGATGTTCAGAAGATCCAGAAGTTGCAGGAGAAGGTTTACGTGGCTCTGCAGCGCTGCTTACAGCGACAGGGAGCATCAGAGGAGAAACTGGCTAAGGTACAAACCCTGCTGCAGCTCCTGTATCACCATTATTTTGGCTAAAACACCCTAATATTTTAACATTTACTGGAAGTTGTGTCCACTTTAAATCCTTAATCTTTTCTACATTTCTCTTCTAGATGGTGTCTAAGCTTCCCACGATGAGGTCCATTTGCAACCTTCACATTGACAAACTGGAGTTTTTCCGTCTGGTTCACCCAGAGACGGCGTATACGTTCCCTCCTCTGTATAGGGAGGTTTTTGGCAGTGAACTCACCTTCCCAGACTCCACAGAGGGCTAGGGCTATTTAGCTAAGTGCTGTGAGTCATATAGTGACACTGAGGTGCAGGGAGAGGAAGATTCAAATGTGGCAACCAGCTGAAGGAACACCAGCCAGCAGCTCAATGACAATCCTGCATGCTACGCTTTAGCGCACACTCCTCTCACCTCTGGCTCTCACTGCTCTGCGAGCCAGTCCTTTAAACCTAACACGACAGGAAGTGCTGCTGGGTAATCCATGCACTTTACCTCCTTTTAGGGAGTTAAAGGAACTATTTAAAAGTAGCCTACGCTCTTTGTATTCTCAAAATTATTTTTCTATAAGACCTTAAACCTCTCGTTAGGTTGAGTTCTTTTCTAATAAATTGGACTCTCGCCGCTCTCACAGTTCCTGTAAGCTATTGTTGAATGTACCCCCCGTTCCCTGAACCATTCAGCACAGCCCTGAGCTTGATATAGAATGTACATACCTAAAATCCTCACCTATTTTGTGGAGATTTGCAGTAACGATGCCTGTTTCCATTGTCAGTCTAGTAACTGTTAATTGTTTCTTTAAGTATTTTTGGTAGCACCCATATTTTTTCAGTTTTCTAACATATGAACAAACTGTTTAAAGGGACCATGATCAAACTCTCGAGCAGACAGAGTTTTTAAACTGTGTGGGTCATGGGCGAACATTTAGCGTCTCTGTTGCCAAGCACTTGGAAAGTCTTGCACACGGAGCACAAAACTTAGCGTTTACGCTGAAAATGTCGTAGGTATTTTTATGAGCACACCCTCAGACACTGACGTAAGTGATCTCTCTATTTTTTTTTTAATCTAATCAGTGACCTCAGTCCTATTACCTTTTCCCTTTGCGAATGCCACTTAGAGAGACGCACACAGAGCTATTGTGGGTCTTTCGGAGAGAGACAGGCTGTTGCTGAGATGTAAAAATGTAAGCTAGCACTTACGAGTCCTCCTTAGAATCAAAAGATGACCTCTGGGCACGAGATGTTACGGGTTCGTGCTCATGCTAAACCAGTGAGAAACACTAAATAAACAATAAATCCAGCCCCCGAGAGGTTATCGTGCCCCCCGGAGGATCCCCTCCTTACCGTCGCCACCCACAGGTTCAAAAGACTCGGGATTAAAGAAAGCTCTTGAATGTGACAGTTAGTGTATCACCACCAGTATGGTTGGAGGAGGAGATAGGTGGATGGTGGTGTTAGAAGATTTCTTTTCTGCTCAGGTCCTCGCCGCTGTGGGGTCGGGCAGGTGTTCTGATCAGAGAATTCACCCTTCTGTTTCTTGTTCTCCACTCCTTTACTACCTCACCCTTTTCAAACACTACATGGCACAGCAAAGGGTTGACAGAGCCATCAGCTACCCCCCTGAGTTATTATTTCTGCTTCGTATTAGAAATCAGCAATTAATGCTAAAATCTGAACACCAGTGCTAACTGTTTCAGAATGTACTGTGTTTTTGCTTAAAACTGGACAGGAAATGAGTGCAAATGACCTGCTGGATGTGCTTGCCCTGAGGACATCCTCTCCGATTGTCAGAGCAACTCATGCCCTTAGGTCCAGGAAGCCCGGGATAGATACAGATCTATCTTGAATCCTGGAGACGCACTCTGCAGACAGAGGGCGCGTCTTCATAGCCGGGGAATGTATTGGACTTGTGTAGAAACAAAGGAGCATCCATTCTGTCAATATCCTAAAAAGGCTGTGAAGAAATTGTAATTCTAAGTTCTATTTCGAGCATTTTTTAAGACAATCACGCGACAGATGTTGGATGTCTGCTTTTGTGTAAAAATGTAAGCCAGGTTTGCTCTGCACTGCTGGGACAGTGCTCTTCACCATACACTATATTTTGTCAGCTAGTATGAAGGGGGTGTTACTGTTGTCTTGGTACTTAAGACAGAGGCATTGTGGGATTGTGCAATGTTGTCTTTCCCATCGTTCTCAGTACATTGAGCTGTTTTTTTGCCGTGTACTATAGCTAATATTTTCATAAGCACTTTGACTAAGTTGACCTTGCGGCACAGCAAGTAACGCTATTTATAATGTAATGTACCAAATACACAGCCACCTTCTTTTCAGATCGGCTGAAAATGGCCGAACGGCATTTAGAGATTGTAACAAAGTGCAATACTTTGTGCGTCGAGCCTGAAAACGCTAGACGCGCTAACTTCATAAGATTGAGTATATTTTGTGAGGTTGCAAGCCTAAAGTCTGTCCGGGGGGCAGTAGTTACGCTCTGCACTCGCATTTCTGTTTAGAGTCACTCAGGGAGATAGCTGGGCTCTCTGTCCTACAGTGTCTGCAGTCAGTCTAGCTAGCAAGACACCTTGCACCAACATAGAAGACCTTTAAACCTTGATCACTGTGTACAGTACATGTTCTTGTGAATGTTTGATTACAGAAGTATCAAAGATTTTACCCCTGTCTAATATCATTATTGCAAAATGGTTTTTTTTGAGTTGTAGATTAAATAGGATATATATAAATATATATATCTACATATAAATATAAAAGATGGATTATAATCTCGGATTCTTGTGTTGGTTTTGTTGTGATCTTTCATTTCTAAATTTTTATCCTTTTATGTGCTTGTTTCTCATCGGTTTAGTGTCCTTTTGTCTTGGAGAGATGTAATTCTATTTTTTTTAAAGAGCGTTTTTAAACATGTCGCCCTAAACTTTCTCTTTGTCATGATCCTTCTGTTTATATTTTCACTCTATTTTAAGATTATAACTATGAAATCAATATAGATTTTAATATGGAATAATTTATGACATGTCATGAATATAAAGCCCTTTAGGGTTTAACACAGTGAAGTGTTATTGCACAATGGTGATACTATATGTGGATTTAAGAATGTAATAAAAGTGTTTTTGCAATTAAAAAGAAAGTTTGTTGTGATTTTGTGTTTTGGTGACAAGCTGCTGGTAAGAAAATTGCTTCTTTGTTAGGTTTTTGGTTGGGTTGGTTGTTGGGTGGCTTAACAAACTAAACATTCTTCTGAAAATGCTCAGGTCCAAGGACTGGGCTCAAAGTAGCTGATGTGGAAAGAGAAGCTTTGAAAGCCGTGCAGGGGGCTGGAGAACTACAGCTGAAGACCAGTTTAAAAACTTTTAAAAAAGAAAGTCAACCTCCTTAGAAGCAAAATAGAAAGCAAAGTGCAATAATGTTTAAGAGGCATCTCCTCAGCTGTGTTTCATGAGCTGGAAGATGTTTTCACTGTTCTGTATTTTGTAGAGTAGGTGATGGGAAAATGTGCACCACAAACAAAGAACTGATATAATACAGAGCTTTACATAATGACCCAGGGTTTAATGTAGGCTGTAGGTCAAAGGGCACGACCAACGCAACAAACGTGCAGCAGAGAAATCATTAACAATTCCAACTTTCCAGTTATCCATGTTTAGATTTTGGCACGTCTTAATTCCTGTAACTCTCTGTCAGTCAACCCTGTCCCGCCTGCAACTTGTCCGAAATGCAGCTATAAGGCTCCTGACGGTTACCAGAGAGAGTATTACTCGGATACTTGCATCTTTACATTGGCTGCCAGTTAAGTACAGAGTCGATTTCAAGGTTCTGTTATTTGTTTTTAAAGCTCTCCAACGCTTGGCTCCGGGTTACATTTCAGATCTCTTAGCCCGCATTAACCACTCGAACTCTGCGGCCTTCCGGTCAGATGATTTTACTGGTCCCACGCTCCCAAATAAAATCTAAAGGTGACAGTTTCTTCGCCGCCGCTCCCCCGAGACTCTGGAACAGACTTGCCTCCTATTTGGAAATCTTTAAATCAAACCTCCTTGTTTTCACAGGCTTCAGATCACTTTGAAATCGGCTGCTGGTCTATTCTGTCTTTGATGGATGGTGGATGCATGTGTATATGTATATATGTATTCATGTCCATGTGTGGTCCTGTGTGTGTGTATATGTATGTGCACATATATGCATGTATAGATGTAAAAAAAAATATTTTTTTTAATCTCATTTATTTTAATTCTTTCTTTTATTTTGACTACATTGTCCCTCTGTTCAGCACTTTGGACAAGTAAAGCTGACTTGACTTGAATAGAATGCATCCCAGTACAAGCATGGAAATGTACAGCAAATCAGAAGTACTTGTGTTTGAATCATAAACAAGTGCACTGTCTAAATTTTATATAATAATAAATATTAATAATAAATAATAATAAATGTTTTTTGAGATTTGGTAGTAGCGTTGTAAACTTACTGCTTATCAGACACATTATTTTTTCCTCATTTGGTTTTATAAATATTTTATATCCCACTGAATGTAAAATTCTTCAGAGCGTCTTTAGTACATTTTGAAACTCCTGGTTTATTTTCTAATCTCAGGTTCTACCTCGAGGAAATTGTAGTTTTTAGACATAAATATATAGAATTTACTTAAAATTGTGTGTATGTGATCAAATTACACCCGACCAGAGCACTAGCAGCCTGCGTTTTCCTGTTCCATCCAGCAGGGGGCAGTGTTCGCCAACAAAACATCCGCACTCTCGGAAACTGATTATTTCTTTGAAAAAGAGCCGTGTGGCTTTGGCGTTCTGTGTAAGGCGGGCTGGCAGTATTGAGTCACAACGTTTGTGGGTTTTCTCAGCTCGGAGAGTGCTGATCCCGCTGTCTGTGGCTCCGTGGGCCCCGTTATCTGCCGTGACAGCGCGAAGAGTCTCTCGACGTGGACGTGGTCAGTTGGCGTGTCCCGACTTGGAGTGACGGCTGTGCGGTCCTATGATTTTCCCGACACGCTCTTCGCATTGGCCCATTTTCTGAAAAACTATATCGCCAACTTTACGTATACCGCAACCTTTTTCACCTCGGTTGGAAGCTGAAGACAAGACGGGCTTCAAGATGTCTGTAGCGGGCTTGAAGAAGCAGTTTTACAAAGCCAGCCAGGTTTGCAAAACTTTTCTTGCCGTTAGCGGCTAGCCTCGTTAGCATGTGCTAACGGTTTGCGGTGAGCTAATGTTTGTAAGAGTTTGTTGTGTTAGTTTGTGGTGACAGCAGCAGACTGTCCGTGTCAGCGTGAACTGTTTCTGTGGGTTTAACACTTAGCTTGTGTCTGTCTACTTTTATTAAACCATCCTAACTAACTAACTTTGGCCGATGTGAGGTTAACTGTAAGACCGCTTGCATGGTCCGCAGGTATCACAGACTCTCAGGGAGTCTGTCTTCTGTAGCTTCTGACTCGGTATCCTGTGGTAAACATTAGCTGTGCCGCAGGGACTCTCCGGGTGAGTCAGAGCTCTCACTTAAAACAAAAGTGTTGGAACTCAGTCCGAGTTTGCAGAATGCACTGAAACCACTTTATCTCCATCTGTGTAACCTGCAGAATGTCTGCTTTCAGCACAGCTGTCTCTTTTCCAGCGGTGATTTTTAGGCTGGGCTCGGATCGGTATTTAGGGCAGCTGAGAGGAGTAAAAAACACACCACTACATACCACTGTGATAAAAATGCCCCTACTCGCACTAGAAATGTAAAAGTCATGATTCTGGCGTCTGAGCCTCGGTGTGAATGTTTTTAATTTAGGCCAGCTCTCAGTGATGGGAGGGGACGGTTTGAGAGGGTTTTTTGGAGGCGCTTTTCTTCCTACCCTGCTGATCTAAGCAGGAAAGACATTTGGGTTCTGCCCCAGCTTCCTGTCAGGAACAGACTCAGATCCCTGTTGGTTTGCGTTTAACGGGGAAAATAAGATGATTTAGAAGCTTCGTGTCGAGGTTAGCAGCTCTTACTCTACTGAAAATCATCAGGAGAAGAGATTAAGTGGATTGGTGCGTTAGCAAGTGACCCCAGAAATGAGGTGGAAAGAGTGCGCTTTCCCTTTATTTGACTGCATTGCAGCTGCTCCTGTTGCCAAAACTCCATGAGAGTCAATAACAGTCACATAGCTCAGATTTTCTACACTGGAGGCATGCAGGAAGTTGGCTGTGGAAATGATATCTGTGCCTCGCTCCTCTCATCTGCTTGTTTTTCTCTTTTAACGTCTCTCTTTCACTTGTACTCGTTTTACGAGATAAAATCTTCAAGCCTGGGATGTTCTCGTACAAATTCTGGGTGGGACGAGTTTTTAGTACTGAATGAATACTTAGATACTTAGAAAGCAAAGTACTTTCATGTGAGAGTAACTCTGAATACATCAGCCTTCACGTGATTTAATGGTTGACAAGAGGCAAATATTAGACACCTTTTGCATCGTTTATTTTGTTAGTTTAATAAAACAAAACTTGGCTGATTCTAGTGTGCAGTTAGGAGGAATTATGAGTGAGTAGTCATAGGAGAAAGTCTTGATATGCAGTGCTTATTATTATCTGTCATCTTAAAAATGTTTCTATAAAAACATTTTGTTGGACCACAGCGCAGGCTTAGAAACATCAGCCAACGTTATTCTTTTTAGCTCATGATACTGGGTATTAAGATGCTGCATTCAGAAAAGGATTAGATTACTGGTGAAAGGAGATTACATTTTGATGCAGACTTCATCTGGGATTAAAACCATTTATAGGAGCGATATTTCATCTGCCGTATAATCCCAGAGCTGCTTTTTATCACTCAGAGTCAATTTTTGGTAAAGTGTGCCGGTGAAAGGATGCTGGCATTGGTGTTTAAATAAATAGACAGCGTCCTTTATTTTTGCCTGTGTGTGCATGATGTTCTTACTGCTGAAAGGCACAGAAAAGACTCCCTTCTACAGCTAGTCCATCTAAGAATTATTATCATTAGATTAACCATAGTTTTAATAGCGAATGTCTGTGACGTGAAGTAACAGAAACAACCATTCGCATCCTTTGTATTTGCTGGAGAAAACTTGAAAATGTGGGATAGCTGGTGGCTACTCGGGACAAGTCTTAGTATATGACAAGGCCTCCCTTATACCTTCACTTTGATAGCAGGCTCATCTCTTAGCCATCATTTCATTCTGTGCCAAAATAAATTTCAAGTATAGTCGTACTTTAATGCTTACAAATAAAAAGAAACCGGAGTGTTCTTGGATGATTGGGTGGGATTTTTCCCACATTTGACTTGTTTTGTACAAAATTACATAAATGTGATTTGGATAAACGTGACTCGTGATGATGATATTATGAAATCATATTTTTGATAAGAGTTGAGCATTAAGTTGGGAATCACTGAGTAAGACTACTTTTAGCAGCTTCTGGTTTTTGTACAAGTTTGACACCAGTGTGATAAAGTACTCTGATTCATCATCGGATTAATTTGCTGCTTTAGTCGGCAGTACAGTCTTTGGAACAATAGATCGGGGGGTTTGAATCCTGACCAGGGCCAAAGGAGGAGAGAAGCCACTGACATCAATCGTATTATCATGCATGAAGGGTTTCACCCTGAGACTGTACGCTAAGCAAAAGGCAGGAGGCCGAGGACAGAGTGTCAGAATGATTATCCAGGATAAGACAAAGATCCATGAGTACGTGAAACTCCAGGAAGATAGCCTCAAACGATCATGTGCTCAGCAGCCACATAAAGCTGGTTCAGACGGCCTGATGGCTTCAGGGCAGCTGCTGCAGAGTCTGGCTGCTACTGTCTCACATAAGTGACTTCTGAGTCAGAAGACGTTTGTTGAATGATTGAAGGCGGTCACTGCTTAAATAGGCCTCAGTAAGATTGGTAACCTAGCCATGCAGAGCTTCATATACAGCTGATACATAAGAAAGCGGCTCCCTCTTTCACAGCAAGTAGATCTGTTTGTATTTGATTTGGCAGTTTTACGCCGGATGCCCTTCGTGATGCTGGCCTCGAGAGATTTGTCTCCGTCTGAACTTGAACCTGGATTCTTTCTGCTTGCAGTTAGCCAATATGCAGCTGATTGTGATAAAGGTTTAAAATCTGAAATTCACTGGAAGCTAATTTAAGCAAGGAAGAGTGCCGTGCATCTGCCAGCTAGCTTCTGTTAGAGGACGTAAAGGCTCCTGATCAAGCCTGTTACCATGAGTATTATATCCGTGTTACCCACCAGCAGAGCCAGCAGGCTGTTGTATGCATTAGGTGTGAAATTATTAACCAGGTATAACCTGGAGGGAGCTGGAGTTTAAATTTTAAATAGAGAAGGATGTAAAAATAATTAAAAGCACAAACCTTAGAAGCTTTTTACTTAGAGTAAAAATGATGTAAGACATCATCCGACTTCTGACTTTTAACTCCATAACAGTTCGTTGTGTCTGAGTTTCAACTACCTGAGAATCATAACTTTTTTCCACCAACTGTCTCTTTAACTGCAAACCAGACTTTTGGGATTTGCCATCTTGATGTAATCTTAAGCCAAACAAGAGCCTGAACCTTGTGATAAAGTGCAGGTATATAACTAACACAGAGTCATTGTGAAGAACATGATACGTTGCACAGGCTGATCCCTCTGTGTAGCACTGTGAGCTGTTTATACCAAAACCTAGCTGTGATAGGGTTTTTCTGTGGATGCTGTTTAGCTTCTTCTCTTTATGTTTGTGTGCATGTAAATAATGATGTTACACTCACAGTAAAGACGACGCTTGGATCAGGAGAAGAGCTGAGGTGTTGTTTAGTGGCCAATCAATGTTGCCAACAGAGCTGCAAAGGAATAAGATTTGGCGACGTAATAAAAATAGCCCCATTATGAATTTAATTCTTTACTAAAGTAGGGCCGTGCAGTGTTGTGTAGGTCCTGAGTTGAGGCTGTATCTATACTTGTGACCTCAGAGTCCCTGGTCATGTGATCTCTGCATACAGAAGTAAAGCCTGAGGATACCAGACTGCTGTTAGAGCTACAGCTGAGATGCGGACGTGTTGCAGTGGTTATTCTGTGTGTGTTGAAACCTGATAACCTCAGTGAAACAGATGAAAGGCAAAATTTGTCATGGACACGAGGAAGTTTCTGTGATTCCAGTTATCACATAAAGATCACAAACAGCAGTTTTGAGTCATGTAGGAAATGACTTCAAACAGCTGCTGATGGTTTCATGACCAGCTTAGGGAAGAGCAGGTTGCTGTGTGCAGTGTTTTTCATCTATCCCCGCTAAAACCAGCCAGAGTGTTTCCAGCTGAGGCAGACTGTCTCCCGCTGGGTGCTACATGTGGGAGGGTCACTGTGGACAGTGTCCCGACCAGAGTTCATGTGCCAAAGAGGCTTAAGGTCAGGAACACTGTATGTCTCTGAGTAGATCACCGTGGGAAAAGGTTGACTGATCAGCCTTTAATGGAGTGAGGGCTGTTTTAATAATATACATGGATACATAGCATAGACTGGATCCACTGTGTGCATATGGGTCTTTAGCGTTATCATCTACTGTACCTTATCAAAAAGGTTTAAAAGATATTTCTGAAATGTCAGCAGACTGCATGGACGCCGGCTATGAAGGCCTCATGACTCATTAACTCATTACCTTAATTATGCTGCTGACCTTTTGTACTTAAGCCACTCCCTAAAAGGGTGCTCTGAGTTGGGGGGTGGCTGAAAATGAGATCCAGGTCATACATGTGTAGCTAAAATCACGTATTCTTTGCTTGTGACGTTTCCTGTGTTTCATTAACTGTGCACACGGTATAAATGTCTCCCTCTGTTATTACTGCATGGTGAAATATTTAACAATTAACAGAGAGCTTGTTGCAACTTTCCTCAGAACTTCAGCAAACAAGAGCAAAGCAGATTCTTCACATCCAGGTTTTATTGCTCTCACAGTTTTATTGCTGTTGACTGGAATCATAGCAGAACCACAAACAGAGCACAAATTAGTCATTGTGGCTGGCTTTCGTCTTTGCACAACAGGGCTTCCGGGTGATATTAGGCCTCGTTTTGCTCCCTGTTCTGCTTTGAAAAGCTTCAATATGGTATCATGTAGCCTGTGGGTTATTATCTTGAAGTCGCTCCAGCGCAGACTCATTAAAGAGACAGAATTAGCACTTTCGTTGCATTCAGCCTCCTCAGAAATGTAGATTATTAGAAAACAGAATGTACAGCAGTACTTGCACAGTAACGTTGTTCCTTAGCATGATCAGAGGCCACAGACAAAAATCCAAGTGAGCTCTCTAAGATAGTTGCATGCTGTCAACATCAACAAGATCTACTTTGAAATAGCATAACATTGCATTTTTCATGCATTTGTGAGATTTCTGTGGTATTACTGCAAGCTTCTATGTTGTTCTGACTCACGCGAGGTTAAGGTTAGGACCGGGCATATAGCACGCCATGCTAGCGGGCACCGACCCGTCTTCTTGGGTGTATGATCACAGAGCAGGCAGTGATAAATTAAAGATGTGCTTCAGCTTGTTTATCTTCTCAAATCAAAACCTTATGAGCAACATTAATGAATTTGCGCTCTTGTTTTCTCAATCCTCTCCCTCCCTTCCTCCCTTCCTCCCTCTAGATGGTGAGTGAGAAAGTTGGAGGTGCAGAAGGAACCAAACTAGATGATGACTTCAGAGACTTGGAACGGGTAAGAGAGCCATCCTTGTGTAGTCTAACAGAGAAACATGCTGAAGCTGAAGGCCTGTGTGGTTTCACCGAGTACACAGGCAGCATTATTTTGTTATTTTTGTTTGACTTGAATTTACATCCCATGGAAAGCGTTATGTGATCCTATCATACAGGGTCAACAGTTTATCTGCTATATGTTGCACACATCTCAGAAAAAAGTAAAAGTAAAAGTAAATCCCTATAAACGGATCCTGATTGAGAACCGGCGCTGAAAAATGCCATTTGGACCCACTTTAGGCACAAATGGCAAAGAAATGTCACTGGTGGAAGCTTCCCAGGTTTTCTGATGTCCTTGGGTTTCAAACTGTTGTGAAGACAAAACAAGTGAATGACGTCTCTTTGGGAATGTTTTTTAACCTTTATCTGAAATGTTTCAGGGCAAAACTTTCATCATGAATAAATCCAGTGGAAAGTGCATAGAGCAGCATGTGTAGATGCATCTCAGTACGATATAATATACCGATCAAACTTTTTCCAGTTCTGAGATACCTTTACTTGCAGTATCTGACAAACCCATCTCATACCAGTGCTAAATTAATAAAGTGTAACTGTGGAAGAGCCTGGGAGTCATTCTTTTATGCATGACCTTTAAACACAGTTTTCCTGTGAGTGTTTTAAACTAGCGTGACATGAACACACAGTGAAGGTTGTTGCTGTACCTGGAGTGAATTTCTTTCTTTCTCTTTTTTGCATATTTATCCCACTGACATGTTTCAGATCATCAAACAAATTTTAATATTAGACAAAAATAACTTGAGTAAATACAAAATGCAGTTTTTAGATGATTATTTCCCTTTCTCATACAGGTCGCCTGGACTTATTCAGTAATTTTGGCTGTAAAATTACAAAATAATTCTTTTTTTTCTGAAACTGTTTGAATTTTGTCTGGAGCACAAACTGTAACTGAGTTACATTATTTAAGGTTATCTAAAGAGGGCTTATAAAATGGGCCTGTTGCAGGGCTAGTAATGTTTTTAAATGGTTAAGGGGGAAAAACCATCCAGAACACGTGGGAATAAAAATCATAAATTAACTTTGTTAACCACATTTCTCAATTCTAAATTTAATTTCACTGCCACACCCAGGCCTGATCACTGTCGGACCTGTTGAATCACTTCAATAGAAGCTGTCTGACAAAGTGAAGTCAGGCTAAAGGATCTAAAGAAACAGCCGAGAAACAAAGTCACTGACATCCATCAGTCTGAAAAAGTTTAGAGACATTTCTGAGGCTCTGGGACTCCAGTGAACCACAGAGAGATCCATTATTCACACATGGAGAAACTGGGAAAGGTGCTGAACCTTCACAGGAGTGACCGGCCTACCAAAATTCACCCAGGAGGTCACAGAAGAACTAGAACAACTCGGGCAGCAGGACCATGACAAGTCCACCTCTGATTGGCTCAGAAAGGCTAAATAAATGTTTTGGAGTGTCCGAGTCAAAGTCTGGACTTAAATCAGACTGTGCTGCTTCAGCGTGACCTTAAACAGGCGTTCATGCTGGAAAACCCTCCAATGTGTCTGAATTAAAGCATTTCTGCAAAGAAGAGTGGGCTAAAGTTCCTCCACAGTGACGTGAAAGACGCACTGAAGGCATCACAAATGCCTGGTGGTGGAATAGCCAGTTATCAGGTTTAGGGGCTGTTACTTTTGCACACAGGACAGGTAGGTTTACATAACCTTTTTCTCTTAATAAATTAAATTATCCTTTAAAAACTGCATTTTATATTTGCTTGAGTTATCTTTGTCTAATATCAAAATTTGTTTGATCTGAAACATGTAAGTGTGACAAACGTGGAAAAACCAAGGTAATAAAGGAAGGGCCAAATACATTTCCACGGTACTGTACTTCCAAAGTCGTTTGGCTTTAATGTTAGCTTCCTGCGTGCTACGTTAGGTGTCACAGTGAACTGATAGATGCGTGCTGGATGGACTACACACGGCTGAGCGGTTTGGATCTGCCCTGGGCAGCTTGGTGTCTTATCCAGGCTTTCCAGTCGGGATTCATTGGCCGTATATTGGATTTATGCAAACTTATAATATTTATCTTGTTACTGTGACAAAAGTCTGTTTGAAAACACGAACAAATTAGCACACCTACTCTTTCTCTCTGTGCTGTTTAAGTTCTCTGACATGGGGCTCTGATGCAAATGTATGACGAGAGTGTGTGTTTCTGCAGAAAGTGGACGTGACCAGTAAAGCAGTGGTAGAGGTGATCTCCAAAACATCAGAGTACCTTCAGCCCAACCCAGGTGAGGAGAAGACCGGTTTCCCTGCAGCTGCTTAGATTATTTAAACTCCGGTTAGTTTCACCTCCATTTCCTTTATTTTCACAGCATCGCGAGCCAAACTGTCCATGCTGAACACCATGTCCAAGATTCGCGGTCAGGTGAACAACCCGGGCTATCCTCAGGCTGAAGGGCTGCTGGGAGAGTGCATGGCCAAGTACGGACGGGAGCTTGGAGAGGACACTAACTTTGGTAAGATGTGTGTCTGTATTCTGGTTTAGTGTCATATTTTCATGTCAGAATAGCACTTCTGTGAGTCATTAGTGGTTTTGATGTGTGTGGTTGTGGTGCTTTTGGGTGTGATAAATTTAAGCTTACCCAGAGTGTGCTGAAACGCTTCGGCTCTAAAGTCACATCTCCGCTTTCAATGTCTCTGTGTGTGGTTAAGGTGGCGCTCTGGTCGATGTAGGAGAGGCCATGAAGAGGCTGGCTGAAGTCAAAGACTCTCTAGACATTGATGTCAAACAGAACTTTATTGATCCACTGCAAGGGCTTTGTGACAAGGACCTGAGAGAAATCCAGGTATCATACACTGGAAATGTCTTTTATTAAATATCTTCTTCAAGTTTGAAGAAGCAGCACGATTGCTGTTTCTGTAAAATATTCAATGAAATACCTAAAGCGTCCATCTGAAACTCCTGACTGCTAACGTTAGCATTTTAAATGACAAAAGTCAGTGGGGCCAGTTTCATAACTAAACAGTACATTTTCTGCAGCACTATCTGAAGAAACTGGAAGGGCGTCGCCTGGACTACGACTACAAGAAAAAGCGTCAGGGAAAGATCCCGGACGAAGAGGTTCGACAGGCTCTGGAGAAGTTTCACGAGTCAAAGGAAGTGGCTGAGATGAGCATGTACAACCTGCTGGAGACTGACGTAAGGATTTATTAAACGTGTTTGGCACGTGAGCTTAATCCTGTTCCTGAATCCACTTTTTTCTGTCTCTAATAGAGACATGTTTCAAAAATATAACTGTGGACATTTTCAGCCTGGTGGTTCTTTAGATCTGATGCTGATATTACTGTATTATACAAAACTGTAGTGCTCCGTGACCTGGTCAAATACAACCCACCCACAGAACAAACACGCGTTCCAGTAGCTGGACCTGTAAAAACTGATAAAGCACAGCCATTCAGCACAACACTGAAGACAGCCTGCTAACGCCTGCAGTTTAACAGTCACGACCTTTGATCCCTTTATGGTTCAGTACTTCTTATTCATAATAATCAAACTAATAATGCATCACTTCAGTTTAAGGATTCATTTTAGTAATGAAGGCTGGTCGACGGGGATGAGTAGGCTACTTGGGATGAAGTCTGCCAGTTTCATATTCCTGTTATTTCTCTGGTGTCCTCCGATCTGTGGCGTGTGTCTGTAATTTTGGACGTTGGAAATTAGCAGTTGGTGGAAAGTTGAATTGTTTCACAGTAAAAATCGGTTCATAATAAACAAAAGAGGTGAAACTCAAAGACGAATTCTGTGTGTGTAGATCGAGCAGGTGAGCCAGCTGTCGTCTCTGGTGGAGTCCCAGCTGCAGTACCACAGACAGGCCGTGCAGGTGTTGGAGGAGCTTTCAGGCAAACTCGGAGACAGGTGCAGTAATGAAATGATTTAGCGCAGCTGTGCAGGTTTCTGCGTATGTCTTTCAACGTGCTGTGGAAGATGCATTTGTTCTTGTTTTTGAACAGGATGAATGAAGCTCAGTCTCGAACAAGACGTGAATACACACCCAAACCCAAACCCGTGTTTGACTTTGGAGACAACAACCATTCAAATGGAGGCTACTCGACCCCCATGGCTCCTCCCCCGTCACGCATCTCGGGTAAGAAACCTTTTAAGAGGACTTAAAAAAAGGTTCAGTGTGAACAAGTTGCCATGTTACAGTGAACAGAGTAACAAAAGATGGCATCTTGGCAAAAGAAAAAGCAGTACTGTCTATTGTTTTGTGTTCATGCTTCCAGCTACAAAGCTGCATTAAAGCACCAAAAATGAGCCGCCCCGGCAGAATTTTAACAGCTAACCCTGCATCTGTTTGTGCCGACACAGCAGATGGGCTAAACCGAAGCAGTGTGCCCGAATAAACTTCAGTCCTTACAAATCTGACACAAAGTCAACTGAAAGTTCTTGGCATTGCCAACAGGATTGCTCAACAAACAAGCGCCACTGAGTCCAGTGAGCATCTCCGTTTGTCTGCTGTGTGAGTGAGGTTTTAAAAAAAAATGATGGCACTGAGTTGGTGATCGTGTGTGTGTGTGTGTGTGTCATCTTTCCGGCCTTTCTCCAACCGACCTTGTTCCTCTTCCTTGTGACATCATCAGAGGCGACTTTTCACTTGACCAGGCCACAAGGATTGTGTGAGTCACCGGTTATGTGTGTGGTGCTGTTTCTCAATTGTTTTAAACTGGTGTGTGTGCGTTTGCGCTCACTTCTGGGGTGAAATGTAGGAAGTGGACCAAAAGCTGCTTTTCATTGGTTTAACAGATAGTGGTTTATGCATAAAACTGCAGCGAGTATGTGGTTTTGTTTAAAATGACTGACTTCCTGAACCTGCAAATGTTTTTTTTTTGCTGTATCTGTATTGTAATGACATTTCAGTTAGGTTTTAGAGGTGAACACAGAAGCACGAGTACATGTAAACCTTCAAACATGTAACCCAGATACAGACACTTTGGTCTCTGCATGGAAAAACTACATCATAACTGGTTTGTAAAACTATAGTTATGTTGGCCCTCGTTCGTTGTATGTGATATTTAATTTGTGCACAGCGAAGCGTCCTGTTTCCATGTTTTAATTTGCATGTCATGGAAGCATAAAACACAAATAACTGACAGGGTTTGTTGTGGCCCTGAAAAGGCCTGTGGGTGTGGCTTTGATTGTTTATGTGTGACCTTTTTAATAAATAATAATGTCTGTCTCCATGTAACTTAACCAGTTAACATTACAGGACAACACATCTGATTGAATGAAGGATTGTTTTCATTTGTGAATCGGTACTAAATCAGCCGTGTTCGGCACAGTTTTAGTGTCTCAGCAGTGTGTTCAGTGTTAGATTTTTTTTTTGCAACTTTTTTTTTGACATTTGTCTTCATTTACTCTTCTTTTGTTTTTTTTCCATTCATCATTGTTTTGCACAGTGCAGCGAGCATCATTTATCATCTGTGTGTCCGTGTGTGAACGCTTTACTGTAAACACGTGAGCTCAGATAGTTGTGAAAGAATTTCATGCTTGAATCACAAAAAGAAAAAAGTATGACTGTGAAGGAGAGTTCATCTGATCTGATTCTCTAGATATCAGCACTTGTGTTTTGGGTTGTAAATATAAGAAGCAGTTGGTCCTTTTCCATTTATAGTTTGTGTTGCTGCTCTTGTAAACAGATGAAGACCAGAGAATGGCTGACCAAATCTTTTCCCATCTCTAGCCGTCCCAGCAGTCTGCGGGTTGAGCCAGATACAATGAGAAAATTGTGTGGCAGAGAAAAAGCCCAGTTTGTCTGTGCATGGAGCCTCCTCGCTGCTGCTGCTGATCTCAGTGAGGTCACAGAGAGCGAGAGGGAGGATCTGGTCTTGGAAAGCTGCTGTCAGAGGAAGTTCTTTATGCTTTAGTCTGTTCAGAACGTCTCGTGAGCACCGTTTCCTAATGTTATACTGATGTTTGATGTGACTTGCTTTTCCTGGAACTGACAGTCTGTGACCTTTAACCTTTTCAAATATCCTGCCGTCTTCCTCATCTCTGCTCTGTTTACTGGTCGTTTTCAGCCCCGGAACAGCCGAGCTGCAAGGCGCTGTATGACTTTGAGCCCGAGAACGACGGAGAGCTGGGCTTCCGCGAGGGCGACGTCATCACCCTGACCAATCAGATCGACGAGAACTGGTACGAGGGCACGCTGAACGGCCAGTCGGGATTCTTCCCCCTGAACTACGTCGAGGTCCTCGTGCCGTTGCCACACTAATGCAAAGAGAGGGAGCTAGGAGGAGACTGATGTAAAGGAGGAGGGGAGAGAAGGTAGAATGAGAAGAGAGCGAAGTGGAGGGATGGTCCGCAGAGGTTTTCATTTTTCACCTTCGGCTCCAACGTCATCATCACAGAGCACTTTTTGGTCACCTGGAGTCCCGAAGAACTACCCGACCAGAATATCAGCGTTTCACATGGAGTTGTCCAACAGCAAGAAGCGTATCGAGGACTAACTGATGAAACAATTTGTAAGGATTTCTAACAACAAATTAATAATGTAGAAAAAATTAATGTGGGTAATTGGAGCGGTCGGGGTGACTCTTTCATATCGTTTTCTTGTATTTTCAGTCTGTTTAAAACTCAGGTCGGTCACCAGATTAAGAGGGATGGGGTGGGGGTCATGCGTAACTTGGCTGAACATTTTCCTCATTTCAAAGTGAAAACTGCTGGTTTTCACTTCAGCTGTGGACTGGTTTGTGCCTGGTGATGCCATCTGCTGGCATGACTGAGAATTAGTAAACTGAGATGGAACCACACACAACTAGCTGTATTTAAAAAAAAAAAAATACTGCTTTGGTATTTTAATGATAAACTTGAGCCAAATTCTTCTCAGATTTTGAACATTTTCAGGTTTCCCCTGTTGCGTAACGACCTGTTTGTTTTATCCCTGTCAGGCTGTGCAGCAGCACTCACGCTTACTCCGTTCTAGTCTTTGATCGGTGTCCACTCAGCTGACTTTGGTATCTTAGTAAAGTTCAGCTGGTAACGTGTGAGAGGATGTTGCAACTGCACCTTTGTCCTCAAATGAGATTGATGTGTGTGACGGACATCTCCAGCGTCACACAGACCCGAAGGTTGCGCGTGTCCGATGTGTGGAAGAGCAGAGCGGTGTGTTCTGCTGAGGAGATGATGCAGGAGACTTTATAAAATGCAATAGAAACATATCGCTCGGCGTGCCTGTTTGTTTAATGATTCTGTACAACAGCCATACTTTATAACATTTCTGGCCTGTTTGTTAAGTATGTTAACCTTTTCTCAGCCTTTCGGCCCACTTTAGACACCCGTCGGCTACACGCAGAGACAACGCTGCTGGCAGCGTCCATCTCTCTGTCACGCCAACGTCGTCTTAGCTCAGAAACGTCCTCGTGCCCGTCTTTCTGACGCCTCACGGGCTCTGATTCACGTGATTGGTTAGTGTGTTTAGGGCGGATGGAGGCAGACTGTGTAGACAAGGCTGGCTTCTTGTTCTGGATTTGGCCTCGGTGCACACCTGTGGGTGGAGTCTAATCCAATACACCCTGTACAGTCTGAGGGAACAACGTGGAAGTAAAAGGGAACTATTGAGGGAAATGTGCATGTAAGCGGTTGTCCGTTTGGATTATTTTGGAGAACCTTTGTTAGCAAACCTTTCTCTTCAGTGCGTCTGATTTCAGATGCTGAATGTTGAATACACTGTGCAGTTTCTTCTTTTTGGTCCATCACTCCATGCTGCCAAACACCAACTCCTGTCTAACCTGTTTACATCTTTGACCCTTCTGCACTTGGACGCTCACATGAGGTTCGGGGTGAATGTGAGCAGAGGTGTGCTGTCTGGGTCTCACTGTTATCAGAGCCAAGTCTTTGTTTTAGTGCCTTTGGAAAAGAGAGGGGGAGTATCCCAGCTTACACAGCAACCAAAACGATGGTCACAATGTCTTACTGCGTTTTCTCATCGTCGTCACCTTCCCGTGTAAAGGGGACATGCACATGTGCATATTTCTGCACATTTTGATGACACTACATGCAGTTTCCTGGATATCTTGATGTGACATTTGTCAGCAGGCCACCAAAGGAAACTGTCTCTCTTTCTCAGAGATTTTAATCCCGTTTCAACATTTCTCACCGATCACTCATCGTAAAGGGTTGCATCTTTGTTTCATCGGTCTTAAATGCTCTTTTCACTGTTAAATCCTTCTGACTCTCTATAGTATTATTTTTTTTATATATACAAGACCTAAAAACCTTTAAATTAATCTCTGCATGTAGTCCTATATTACACCTAGTACGTGTATATCTTAGATTTAAGTTGCTTTTTACTTTTGGTATGAATACAGAATTTAACGACAATATTGTGTCTTGTATTATCACAGTATTTGTACATGCTTCTGTCCTGTCCCCTCATTTCCCTGTTCTTAAAATAAATAAATACAGTTTTAAATGAAGCCGTTGTTTGTAGTGAGGTGTCAAATTATGGCTTTAATGTTGGATTTTATATGGAAAACGCACACAAAAGGGTGCATCACTCGAGTGTGTGTGTGTGTGTGTGTGTGTGTGTGTGTGTGTGTTCACACTGCTCAAAAAGAATTCTGAGAACTTTGAATCATCAGAGTGAAGCGAGCATAAAGCACTGAACCTACTCCGGTGCAGGTGTGGCCACAGACCCTTGTTTATCCCTCCTGACTCATTTTTCCGTAGTTTCACTTTTCCTTAGTGACCTCGTCTCCTCTGGTAGGAGCCTATAGTACCTGCGCAACCTTCCAGCTCTACCAGGATGAAGCATTCATGGTTGGAGATATCAGGAGATGAGCAGTCTAAGGAGCTCAGAAAGAAAAGCGACTGAACTTTTTTAAGTTTCCTTGAAAACGTTTCATCTGAGAAGCTTCTTCAGTTCTAAGAGCAACTGGTGGAGAGTCTCAGATTTTAAGCCCTATGGGAGTGTCTATTGATCTTCTACCTAATCACATGACCCAAGGTGTGAAAACAGGTGTGGGTCACAATCAGCCAAAGTTTTGGGTGAGCCCATTGTGAGACCTAGCCCCACCCTATCATCTTTCCTTGGCTAATTGTGACCCACACCCGCTTTTCTTTCCGAGCTCCTTAAGACTACGATGAGCTAGATGACTGAGAACCTGAGGACAGCTGGACAGGACTATAGAGGGGTATAAAGGGTTCACGCTGAGCCCATGTGACAAGCGTGAAAGAACCTGGAGATGCTGCGGCGAGCGTCACTCTGTCGTGACAGACCTCCCCGGGCTATTGTTGGGACAGCACAGAGGAGCTGGACTACCTGTGCAGCCTGAATAGGCTGCACGTACCATCTCCTGTTACCGACAACAAGGACACTAACAAAAGCAGGTCAGAATCCGTTGTTGGTGTTGGCCCTGCTGTTCTCCGGTCCCTTCATTTCTTTGGAGCAGTGTGTTTTAGACTGAAGGGGAAAAAATAACCCACACTTGTGTTTAAATAGTTCCAGTGTGTATATTTTAATGCTTTGTGGATCATCAATCAGCAGGCTTAAGGCATTGCTCTGTCCTCAAAGATGTACCTCTACAATCCACAGGCAGTAATAAATACAGTACAGGTAGAGAGGAAGCAAATGTGTGTTCCTAACGAACAGGACTCAAGTTTCACACAACCTGACAGGAAGACAGTAGACGGGCACGTTCACAACACGCTGGCACAAACACAGACACACACCTGTTCACTTCACTAGTGGAACTGAAAAATTAACTTGTGTGGCACAGCGGACTTGATGCACTCACAAATCCGGCTGCAGAGCACACTTCAGGTCGCTGTCGTAGATTCTGCACTGCTTTTCACTTTTCCCCAAACGCCGATCCATTGGCTTTTGTCAATAAAAGGCAATTATAAGACATAAATTTTCACGTTGTATATATCTGTCAATATTTGCTCATTGCCACAGGTTACTGGCACAGACAGGCACATACTGTAGGTCCATGTGTAGAAGGTAGAAAGGCCGATTTGTCTTCTGCAACGTGGTTCTGAGTAGCGTCCTGAGGCAGAAGAGCATGGTCTCGTGTTTTCTAACATGCTGCTTTTTGGGTCTCCTCTAATGAAAACAACCTTCTGGGGCAGCTAATATCACAGCCACTGTAATGTATTTGTCTGATAATGCTGTTTAACAGGTAAATATCACTCTAACGTACGAGCAATCGAGGCATCTATATGTTTGTAAAGCAGGGTTTACATTGTATTTCACACCAATCCTGCAAGCTCTGCAAAAAAAAAAAAAGTTGTTTGAAGTGAACAACGGTGATCCGCTCAGTTCATGCTCCCCAGCTGACTGTAGACGTGCTCCAGGATCTGAGAGTAGGCCTGGTCTTTGGGAGCGTGGCAACTGAGAGAGCCCTGAGAAGGAGGACGAGCTCAGTCAGCCTGCCTGCAATCTGATCAGGTAAACAGTGAGACTTTAACTCACCTTAATTTTGTCCATCATGGTCGTATCAGGACACCAGTACTGGTTGAACTGGACGAGGTCAGGAGCTGCCCTGTAGTAGTCGACCAGCAGCATCTATGCAGAGGTTTTTTTGTTTTTGTTTAGTTACAGCATCACAGAAGCTTTTTCCAGTCTTTTCATACGATGCATCATGCAGTATCATACCATCTCATTAAGAACATCACTGGTGAGGAAGTTGTCCTGTACGTAGGTGACCTCGACAGCGACTGGGATGCCGTAGTCATTAGGTCTTTGCTGCAGAAAGAGACCACATGTGTCAGAAAAACTCAAACCCATTTCATCTGACACTGCAACCTAACCTGCTGACCTCTTAAAAACTTTTCCATTCCCTTTTAAGAAGCTTGAGTCTATTCCGAAAACGGTCACACTTTAATACAAACTGATGATAAGCAGCCTCATGAGAAGGTCAACGACAGCGCATCTGAAATTTCCACATTACAAAGAAAGACTGAGCCAACGATGGCCACGACTAACGTCTCTGTGAGCAGGGAGGCTTCGAAACTGAACAACTCATTATGAGACCCTTTGATGGGCCAGTTCTGGCTCCAGGCTGTACGTTTAGGTGAAGGGGACCAGTTCAAACACTTGCAGCACTCACCTCAGGTGGCGGTACGACCCAAAATGGAGTTATTGTTGATGCCACGCCTTGATTTCCGTGATAATACGGACCTGAAAGAGAAACGAGATGAAAGCTCAGCCACCAATGCGATGACACAGAGCCAGTGTCAGAGAGTTCTTATATTTTTCTGTTTGCAAACACAAACCTATATCAACATGTAGATTTGACCATCAACAGGCTTCACTGTGAGGTGTGGTATAAATAGGCTGTTTACGGCTCGTTTTTCATTTATTTTCTCGACAAATTCCCACATTACCCTTGAATGCAACACTGCTTGAAAGGCTGATATTGACACCTGCTATCTTGCAACATCTGCTGAAACCTGAACTCTATAAAGCTGTTATGCTGTAGAACTCTGAAATGTGCGTATAATCCTGCGATCTGCTAACATCTTTCTTAAAATAGTTTAAATGCATCATCCCGTCTGAAGTGCAGTGCACCGATTAATACTCAGTGAACCCGATCGTTTCTGCAGCACCGTTATGAAGGACGTACCACAGATGATGCCCAGGCAGGGCTGGAAGCCGTTGTTTGAGCCCTGCAGCCTCAGCTGATGGTCCATCTGTGAGTCGATGTCCTGCAGCGACGGCAGGGCCGGACCTCGCGGGTGACTGTGGTACCAGCCCACCAACGACAGCCCACGCATGAACAGGTTCTGACAAATCTGAGACGGCAAGCACGACAAAGAAACAATGATGGA